CGGCACGTCATTGCGCTCTCTCTCGCTCTCTCTCTCGCTCTGCTGTGTCCACTGAGACGTTGGGTCCACCCAGCAACTTCATTGGATAACGCTGGGCAGGCTTCCTGCTAGCTGTCACTCAAATGCAAAAGGTATTGAAGTTCAAAACAGTCGCTTCCAAACTAGAGATTCGTGGATAATTGAGGTAAAACAGTAATTCTGCTCATATACATAAATAAATAAATAAATAAATAAATATATATATATATATGTATGAACTACACATTGACACATCCAGTCCAAAACGGAAGGTTTAAAAAATACTTTCTTAGTCGCCAAAGTACCGGAGCATGTCTTTAACAGAGAAGATACAGAATGTCTAGAAGCTCACTCTCCCTCTCTCTATCTTTCCCTCTCTCTCTCTGTGTCTCTCTCTCTCTCTCTCTCTCTCTCTCTCTCTCTCGCTCTCTCTCTCGCTCTCTCTCTCGCTCTCTCTCTCGCTCTCTCTCCTCTCCTCTCTCGCTCGCTCTCTCTCTCGCTCTCTCTCTGTCCTCTCTCGCTCTCTCTCTCTCTCTGTCTCTCTCTCTCTCTCCCCCCCCTCTCTCTCTCTCTGTCTCTCTCTCTCTTTCCCCCCTCTCTCTCTCCCCCTCTGTCTCTTTCTCTTGCGCTCTCTCTCGCTCTCTCTCTATTTCTCTTTGTCTCTCTTTCTCACTCCCCCCCTCTCTCTCTCCCCCTCACTCTCTCTCTCTCTCTCTCCTCTCTTTCTCTCTCCCCCTCTCTCGCTTTCTCTCTCCCCCCTCTCTCCCTCTCTATCTCTCTCTCTCTCTATCTGAGCGTGAGGATGGATGGTTTCATTAAAAGGTGTTCTAAGGGAGAGCTCAGTATGTGTCTGCTCTTTATTACTCATTAGTTAGACACCAACATGAGAGCTTGTACTTCAAGGCAATGAAAAAGCACTAAAATATAAAGTTTTAATTTGTATCTCGTTCAATATGCCTTAAGCTTATAGGCTCCTAACTTGGATCAATGTTCTGCCCATCAGCTTTGTGTCCTCACTAAACAGGAAGTAAACTCCTCTTTCTCTTTATTTTTTTCTTCTTTGGTCATCTAAAATGTTGCTCCAGAGAATCTCCTGTCATTTAGAAAGAGGGTTGACGTGAACAATCGGAGGGATGATTACATTTGGAGTGCTGTAGGACATGAGAAGAAGGAAAAGCGGCTTATGAGTTTTAATGACTGCAGTTATTAGCGGTGTAATTAGATATGGGTAACAGGCAGCGCTCTGGGCGGTGATGTGATGTGAGGGGCATGGCTTACTCCTCATCAACAGGAGGACTTCCTCTATCTCAGAGTTAGGAGTTAGGAAACATTGGATGGAAAATTTAGCTCAGCTAAGTTTATGTAGTGCAATCCCCATACAGCAGTGTTCCTCAACTGGTGGTTTTATTTGGCCCCCCAAGTTTTCTTGTTTTTTTACCTTCTTTGTTTTCTCCATTGTTGGACATAAAATACTGTAAAAACACCAGGAAATCAACTTAGAGTGATTTTAATTTAAGAAATCTGTTCCCAAGTATTCCCACGCGTAATAGAGAGACACATGATCGTATACAAATGTAAGCAAGGTTGGAAATGATTGTTTTAGTCAAACATTCTATCTGTTTGGGCTTCTTGTGGTCAATTTGTGGTCTACAAATGATTTGTAATTATGTTCCGGCCCCCCCCGACCATCCGCCAATGAAAAAAATCGTCCCGCGGCTGAATCTAGTTGATGATCCCTGCTATACAGGGTGGAAATTTACACTCTGAGGGGAATAGAAAACATGTATACAGCTAAAAATGCCCAGTCACACCTGCATCAAAATGTGTTGAGCAGGTAAATGTGTCCCTGCTTGAGGCATGCTGACTGTATATATCCATATTACTGTAATATATACCTTGTAGAACATACATCTGGTGGCAAGGTGGTTGGGTACACTGTAGAAGAGACCAGAGCAGCATGGAGAGAGCAGTCACCATGACTTCATCATCACCTTCATCACACAGCAAATTCTCCAGTGTAAAAAAAGAAATACAAAATGAACACGGAGAGTGTTAAATCAACATTGAAAGTGTTATGTCTGTGGACCCATATAGAAACCGGAAAAAGTGTTAAATTATTCCCAGAGTGCTTTGCCTTTCGAGTGAATTGTACAGTTACAACCCATGACTGTATTTGTTAGTGACAAAGACATGGTAGTTGCATTTATATATTTTCAGTCCTATGGACTTTGTCAAGTGAATATGTTATCTTTTAAAAATATATATATATTAATACATATGATATTGTTTTAAAGAATAAGTCCTTATTTTTGGGGCCTAGTTTTACCCTAATCCAGGGGCCTGCAACTCATACACATCACGTTGAACCAAAACCATGCCTATCATATTTCCCAGCATGCTCTATTGCAGGTTGATATTTATAATTGTTTGTTTTAATATCTATGAATCACGAAGAGGCATACAATTTATACATGATCTCTCTCTCTCTCTCTCTCTCTCTCTCTCTCTCTCTCTCTCTCTCTCTCTCTCTCTCTCTCTCTCTCTCTCTCTATATATATATATATATATATATATATATATATACACTGCTCAAAAAAATGAAGGGATCACTAAAATAACACATCCTAGATCTGAATGAATGAAATAATCTTATTAAATACTTTTTTATTTACATAGTTGAATGTGCTGACAACAAAATCACACAAAAATTATCAATGGAAATCTAATTTATCAACCCATGGAGGTCTGGATTTGGAGTCACCCTCAAAATTAAAGTGGAAAACCACACTACAGGCTGATCCAACTTTGATGTAATGTCCTTAAAACAAGTCAAAATAAGGCACAGTAGTGTGTGTGGCCTCCACGTGCCTGTATGACCTCCCTACAACGCCTGGGCATGCTCCTGATGAGGTGGCGGATGGTCTCCTGAGGGATCTCCTCCCAGACCTGGACTAAAGCATCCGCCAACTCCTGGACAGTCTGTGGAGCGAGACATGATGTCCCAGATGTGCTCAATTGGATTCAGGTCTGGGGAACGGGCGGGCCAGTCCATAGCATCAATGCCTTCCTCTTGCAGGAACTGCTGACACATTCCAGCCACATGAGGTCTAGCATTGTCTTGCATTAGGAGGAACCCAGGGCCAACCGCACCAGCATATGGTCTCACAAGGGGTCTGAGGATCTCATCTCGGTACCTAATGGCAGTCAGGCTACCTCTGGTGAGCACATGGAGGGCTGTGCGGCCCCCCAAAGAAATGCCACCCCACACCATGACTGACCCACCGCCAAACCGGTCATGCTGGAGGATGTTGCAGGCAGCAGAACGTTCTCCACGGCGTCTCCAGACTCTGTCACGTCTAGTCACGTGCTCAGTGTGAACCTGCTTTCATCTGTGAAGAGCACAGGGCGCCAGTGGCGAATTTGCCAATCTTGGTGTTCTCTGGCAAATGCCAAACATCCTGCACGGTGTTGGGCTGTAAGCACAATCCCCACCTGTGGACGTCGGGCCCTCATACCACCCTCAAGGAGTCTGTTTCTGACCGTTTGAGCAGACACATGCACATTCGTGGCCTGCTGGAGGTCATTTTGCAGGGCTCTGGCAGTGCTCCTCCTGCTCCTCTTTGCACAAAGGCGGAGGTAGCATTCCTGCTGCTGGGTTGTTGCCCTCCTACGGCCTCCTCCACGTCTCCTGATGTACTGGCCTGTCTCCTGGTAGCGCCTCCATGCTCTGGACACTACGCTGACAGACACAGCAAACCTTCTTGCCACAGCTCGCATTGATGTGCCATCCTGAATGAGCTGCACTACCTGAGCCACTTGTGTGGGTTGTAGTCTCATGCTACCACTAGAGTGAAAGCACCGCCAGCATTCAAAAGTGACCAAAACATCAGCCAGGAAGCATAGGAACTGAGAAGTGGTCTGTGGTCACCACCTGCAAAACCAGTCCTTTATTGGGGGTGTCTTGCTAATTGCCTATAATTTCCACCTGTTGTCTATTCCATTTGCACAACAGCATGTGACATTTATTGTCAATCAGTGTTGCTTCCTAAGTGTACAGTTTGATTTCACAGAAGTGTGATTGACTTGGAGTTACATTGTGTTGTTTAAGTGTTCCCTTTATTTCTTTGAGCAGTGTATATATATATATATATATATATATATATATATATATATATATATATATATATATATATATATATATATATATATATTTATTTCTCTCTCTATTTCTCTCTCTATATATCTCTCTCTCCCTCTAATAAAAATGTTTCTGTTTGCCAATAAGAAGCAGTTCAGACATTGCATGTTTGCGTGCCAGTTTCTCTGTGGTGTTTTTAATCAAATTGCCAATTTGGTGTGATGTAGCAGCTAACAGATGGAGAGTGTTACCTCCATCGGTGGCCGTAGAGTAGACTCTGACCCGTGGAGGACACAGCTGTCAGCATGAAAACACGGCTCTCTATTGGGAAGAGGCAGGATTGGATGGGATGGTAGGATGTTTCTCGACAAGTCATCTTTCTGGCATCAGAATACAGTATGGCATAAGTACGTTTGTGTGTGTGTGTGTGCATGTGTGCGTGTGTGCGTGTATTTTTGTTATTGCACGCATGCATTTGTGGTAGTTAAAATTACACCTCTACCTTATCAGTACACTTCCATCTACAGTAAAACCACTACTAGCCATCAGTTTAGCTTCTTATCAAAATGTTACCAATGTATCTCCAGCTACAGCCTACCATAACGTCCTGTGGTTCTGCCTCCATACCAATAATGAAATGCTTAGCTTCCATCCATCATGCCTTTTTAAAGTGCTGATGCCTATCTCTCTGATAAGACGTGCACACACACACACACACACACACACACACACACACACACACACACACACACACACACACACACAGAGAGAGAGAGAGAGAGCGATAGAGAGAGAGAGCAGGGAGGGACAATATTCCAGTCATGTACAGGGTGAAAGCTAATCAATGGTTTGCCTCTATAATGGCCTGGCCACCCCTGCCAGACCACAGCCAGAGCCCACAGTAACCAACAGTAAACCAGAGCCCTCAGTAACCAACAGTAAACCAGAGCCCACAGTAACCAACAGTAAGCCAGAGCCCTCAGTAACCAACAGTAAACCAGAGCCCACAGTAACCAACAGTAAGCCAGAGCGCTCAGTAACCAACAGTAAACCAGAGCCCTCAGTAACCAACGGTAAGCCAGAGCCATCAGTAACCAACGGTAAGCTAGAGCCCTCAGTAACCAACAGTAAACCAGAGCCCTCAGTAACCAAGAGTAAACCAGAGCCCTCAGTAACCAACAGTAAACCAGAGCCCTCAGTAACCAACAGTAAACCAGAGCCCTCAGTAACCAACGGTAAGCCAGAGCCCTCAGTAACCAACGGTAAGCTAGAGCCCTCAGTAACCAACAGTAAACCAGAGCCCTCAGTAACCAACGGTAAGCCAGAGCCCTCAGTAACCAACAGTAAGCCAGAGCCCTCAGTAACCAACAGTAAACCAGAGCCCTCAGTAACCAACAGTAAGCCAGAGCCCTCAGTAACCAACAGTAAACCAGAGCCCTCAGTAACCAACGTTAAGCTAGAGCCCTCAGTAACCAACAGTAAGCCAGAGCCCTCAGTAACAAAGAGTAAACCAGAGCCCTCAGTAACCAACAGTAAACCAGAGCCCTCAGTAACCAACAGTAAACCAGAGCCCTCAGTAACCAACAGTAAACCAGAGCCCTCAGTAACCAACAGTAAACCAGAGCCCTCAGTAACCAACAGTAAACCAGAGCCCTCAGTAACCAACAGTAAACCAGAGCCCTCAGTAACCAACAGTAAACCAGAGCCCTCAGTAACAAAGAGTAAACCAGAGCCCTCAGTAACCAACAGTAAACCAGAGCCCTCAGTAACCAACAGTAAACCAGAGCCCTCAGTAACCAACAGTAAGCCAGAGCCCTCAGTAACTAACAGTAAGCCAGAGCCCTCAGTAACCAACAGTAAACCAGAGCCCTCAGTAACCAACAGTAAACCAGAGCCCTCAGTAACCAACAGTAAACCAGAGCCCTCAGTAACAAAGAGTAAACCAGAGCCCTCAGTAACCAACAGTAAACCAGAGCCCTCAGTAACCAACAGTAAACCAGAGCCCTCAGTAACCAACAGTAAGCCAGAGCCCTCAGTAACTAACAGTAAGCCAGAGCCCTCAGTAACCAACAGTAAACCAGAGCCCTCAGTAACCAACAGTAAACCAGAGCCCTCAGTAACCAACAGTAAACCAGAGCCCTCAGTAACCAACAGTAAGCCAGAGCCCTCATTAACTAACAGTAAGCCAGAGCCCTCAGTAACCAACAGTAAACCAGAGCCCTCAGTAACCAACAGTAAGCCAGAGCCCTCAGTAACCAACAGTAAGCTAGAGCCCTCAGTAACCAACAGAAAGCCAGAGCACTCAGTAACCAACAGTAAGCAAGAGCCCTCAGTAACCAACAGTAAGCCAGAGCCCTCAGTAACTAACAGTAAACCAGAGCCCTCAGTAACCAACAGTAAGCCAGAGCCCTCAGTAACAAAGAGTAAACCAGAGCCCTCAGTAACCAACAGTAAACCAGAGCCCTCAGTAACCAACAGTAAACCAGAGCCCTCAGTAACCAACAGTAAACCAGAGCCCTCAGTAACCAACAGTAAACCAGAGCCCTCAGTAACCAACAGTAAACCAGAGCCCTCAGTAACCAACAGTAAACCAGAGCCCTCAGTAACCAACAGTAAACCAGAGCCCTCAGTAACAAAGAGTAAACCAGAGCACTCAGTAACCAACAGTAAACCAGAGCCCTCAGTAACCAACAGTAAACCAGAGCCCTCAGTAACCAACAGTAAGCCAGAGCCCTCAGTAACTAACAGTAAGCCAGAGCCCTCAGTAACCAACAGTAAACCAGAGCCCTCAGTAACCAACAGTAAACCAGAGCCCTCAGTAACCAACAGTAAACCAGAGCCCTCAGTAACAAAGAGTAAACCAGAGCCCTCAGTAAACCAACAGTAAACCAGAGCCCTCAGTAACCAAACAGTAACACGAAGCCAGAGCCCTCAGTAACCAACAGTAAGCCAGAGCCCTCAGTAACCAACAGTGTCAGCCAGAGAGCCCTCAGTAACCAACAGTAAACCAGAGCCCTCAGTAACCAACAGTAAGCCAGAGCCCTCAGTAACAACAGTAACCAGAGCCTCAGTAACCAACAGTAAACCAGAGCCCTCAGTAACCAACAGTAAGCCAGAGCCCTCAGTAACCAACAGTAAGCTAGAGCCCTCAGTAACCAACAGTAAGCCAGAGCCACTCAGTAACCAACAGTAAGCCAGAGCCCTCAGTAACCAACAGTAAGCCAGAGCCCTCAGTTAACCAACAGTAAACCAGAGCCCTCAGTAACCAACAGTAAACCAGAGCCCTCAGTAACCAACAGTAAACCAGAGCCCTCAGTAACCAACAGTAAACCAGAGCCTCAGTAACCAGTAACCAACAGTAAGCCAGAGCCCTCAGTAACCAACAGTAACCAGAGCCCATCAGTAACCAACAGTAAGCCAGAGCCCTCAGTAACCAACAGTAAACCAGAGCCCTCAGTAACCAACAGTAAGCCAGAGCCCTCAGTAACCAACAGTAAACCAGAGCCCTCAGTAACCAACAGTAAGCCAGAGCCCTCAGTAACCAACAGTAAGCCAGAGCCCTCAGTAACCAACAGTAAGCCAGAGCCCTCAGTAACCAACAGTAAGCCAGAGCCCTCAGTAACCAACAGTAAGCCAGAGCCCTCAGTAACCAATAACAGTAAACCAGAGCCCTCAGTAACCAACAGTAAACCAGAGCCCTTCAGTAACCAACGGTAAACCTAAGAGCCCTCAGTAACCAACAGTAAAACCAGAGCCCTCAGTAACCAACCAGTAAACCAGAGCCCTCAGTAACCAACAGTAAACCAGAGCCCTCAGTAACCAACAGTAAGCCAGAGCCCACAGTACCAGAGCCCTCAGTAACCAACAGTAAGCCAGAGCCCTCAGTAACCAACAGTAAACCAGAGCCCTCAGTAACCACAGTAAGCCAGAGCCCTCAGTAACCAACAGTAAGCCAGAGCCCTCAGTAACCAACAGTAAACCAGAGCCCTCAGTAACCAACAGTAAGCCAGAGCCCTCAGTAACCAACAGTAAGCCAGAGCCCTCAGTAACCAACAGTAAGCCAGAGCCCTCAGTAACCAACAGTAAGCCAGAGCCCTCAGTAACCAACAGTAAGCCAGAGCCCTCAGTAACCAACAGTAAACCAGAGCCCTCAGTAACCAACAGGTAAACCAGAGCCTCAGTAACCAACAGTAAACCAGAGCCCTCAGTAACCAACAGTAAACCAGAGCCCTCAGTAACCAACAGTAAACCAGAGCCCTCAGTAACCAACAGTAAACCAGAGCCCTCAGTAACCAACAGTAAACCAGAGCCCTCAGTAACCAACAGTAAACCGAGCCTCAGTAACCAACAGTAAACCAGAGCCCTCAGTAACAAAGAGTAAACCAGAGCCCTCAGTAACTAACAGTAAACAGAGCCCTCAGTAACCAACAGTAAACCAGAGCCCTCAGTAACCAACAGTAAACCAGAGCCCTCAGTAACCAACAGTAAGCCAGAGCCCTCAGTAACAAAAGTAAACCAGAGCCCTCAGTAACCAACAGTAAACCAGAGCCCTCAGTAACCAACAGTAAACCAGAGCCCTCAGTAACCAACAGTAAGCCAGAGCCCTCAGTAACCAACAGTAAGCCAGAGCCCTCAGTAACCAACAGTAAACCAGAGCCCTCAGTAACCAACAGTAACCAGAGCCCTCATAACCAACAGTAAACCAGAGCCCTCAGTAACCAACAGTAAACCAGAGCCCTCAGTAACCAACAGTAAACCAGAGCCCTCAGTAACCAACAGTAAACCAGAGCCTCAGTAACCAACAGTAAGCCAGAGCCCTCAGTAACTAACAGTAAGCCAGAGCCCTCAGTAACCAACAGTAAACCAGAGCCCTCAGTAACCAACAGTAAACCAGAGCCCTCAGTAACCAACAGTAAACCAGAGCCCTCAGTAACCAACAGTAAGCCAGAGCCCTCATAACTAACAGTAAGCCAGAGCCCTCAGTAACCAACAGTAACCAGAGCCCTCAGTAACCAACAGTAAGCCAGAGCCCTCAGTAACCAACAGTAAGCCAGAGCCCTCAGTAACCAACAGAAACCAGAGCCTCAGTAACCAACAGTAAGCCAAAAGCCCTCAGTAACCAACAGTAAGCCAGAGCCCTCAGTAACCAACAGTAACCAGAGCCCTCAGTAACCAACAGTAAGCCAGAGCCCTCAGTAACCAACAGTAAACCAGAGCCCTCAGTAACCAACAGTAAACCAGAGCCCTCAGTAACCAACAGTAAACCAGAGCCCTCAGTAACCAACAGTAAACCAGAGCCCTCAGTAACCAACAGGTAAGCCAGAGCCCTCAGTAACCAACAGTAAGCTAGAGCCCTCAGTAACCAACAGTAAACCAGAGCCCTCAGTAACCAACAGTAAGCCAGAGCCCTCAGTAACCAACAGTAAGCCAGAGCCATCAGTAACCAACAGTAAACCAGAGCCCTCAGTAACCAACAGTAAGCCAGAGCCCTCAGTAACCAACAGTAAGCTAGAGCCCTCAGAACCAACAGTAAGCCAGAGCCCTCAGTAACCAACAGTAAGCCAGAGCCCTCAGTAACAACAGTAAGACCAGAGCCCTCAGTAACCAACAGTAAACCAGAGCCCTCAGTAACCAACAGTAAACCAGAGCCCTCAGTAACCAACAGTAAACCAGAGCCCTCAGTAACCACAGTAACCAGAGCTCAGTAACCAACGTAACCGAGCCCTCAGTAACCAACAGTAAACCAGAGCCCTCAGTAACCAACAGTAAACCAGAGCCCTCAGTAACCAACAGTAACCAGAGCCCTCAGTAACCAACAGTAAACCAGAGCCTCAGTACAACGTAACAGGCTCATAAAACAGTAAACCAGAGCCCTCAGTAACCAACAGTAAACCAGAGCCCTCAGTACAACAAGTAACGAGCCCTCAGTAACAACAGTAAACCAGAGCCCTCAGTAACCAACAGTAAACCAGAGCCCTCAGTAACCAACAGTAACCAGAGCCCTCAGTAACCAACAGTAACCAGAGCCCTCAGTAACCAACAGTAACCAGAGCCCTCAGTAACCAACAGTAAACAGAGCCCTCAGTAACCAACAGTAAACCAGAGCCCTCAGTAACCAACAGTAACAGAGCCCTCAGTAACCAACAGTAAGCCAGAGCCCTCAGTAACCAACAGTAAACCAGAGCCCTCAGTAACCAACAGTAAACCAGAGCCCTCAGTAACCAACAGTAAGCCAGAGCCCTCAGTAACCAACAGTAAACCAGAGCCCTCAGTAACCAACAGTAAACCAGAGCCCTCAGTAACCAACAGTAAACCAGAGCCCTCAGTAACCAACAGTAAACCAGAGCCCTCAGTAACCAACAGTAAGCCAGAGCCCTCAGTAACCTAACAGTAAGCCAGAGCCTCAGTTAACCAACAGTAAACCAGAGCCCTCAGTAACCAAACAGTAAACCAGAGCCCTCAGTAACCAACAGTTAAACCAGAGCCCTCAGTAACCAACAGTAAGCCAGAGCCCTCAGTAACCTAACAGTAAACCAGAGCCCTCAGTAACCAACAGTAAAACCAGAGCCCTCAGTAACCAACAGTAAGCCAGAGCCCTCAGTAACCAACAGTAAGCTAGAGCCCTCAGTAACCAACAGTAAGCCAGAGCCTCAGTAACCAACAGTAAGCCAGAGCCCTCAGTAACCAACCAGTAAGCCAGAGCCCTCAGTAACCAACCAGTAAACCAGAGCCCTCAGTAACCAACAGTAAACCAGAGCCCTCAGTAACCAACAGTAAACCAGAGCCCTCAGTAACCAACAGTAAACCAGAGCCCTCAGTAACCAACAGTAAACCAGAGCCCTCAGTAACCAACAGTAAGCCAGAGCCCTCAGTAACCAACAGTTAAGCCAGAGCCCTCAGTAACCAACAGTAAACCAGAGCCCTCAGTAACCAACAGTAAGCCAGAGCCCTCAGTAACCAACAGTAAACCAGAGCCATCAGTAACCAACAGTAAACCAGAGCCCTCAGTAACCAACAGTAAGCCAGAGCCCTCAGTAACCAACAGTAAGCTAGAGCCCTCAGGAACCAACAGTAAGCCAGAGCCCACAGTAACCAACAGTAAGCCAGAGCCCTCAGTAACCAACAGTAAGCCAGAGCCCACAGTAACCAACAGTAAGCCAGAGCCCTCAGTAACCAACAGTAAACCAGAGCCCTCAGTAACCAACGGTAAGCCAGAGCCCTCAGTAACCAACGGTAAGCTAGAGCCCTCAGTAACCAACAGTAAACCAGAGCCCACAGTAACCAACAGTAAGCCAGAGCCCTCAGTAACCAACAGTAAACCAGAGCCCACAGTAACCCAACAGTAAGCCAGAGCCCTCAGTAACCAACAGTAAACCAGAGCCCTCAGTAACCAACGGTAAGCCAGAGCCCTCAGTAACCAACGGTAAGCTAGAGCCCTCAGTAACCAACAGTAAACCAGAGCCCTCAGTAACCAACAGTAAACCAGAGCCCTCAGTAACCAACAGTAAACCAGAGCCCTCAGTAACCAACAGTAAACCAGAGCCCTCAGTAACCAACGGTAAGCCAGAGCCCTCAGTAACCAACGGTAAGCTCAGAGCCCTCAGTAACCAACAGTAAACCAGAGCCCTCAGTAACCAACAGTAAGCCAGAGCCCTCAGTAACCAACAGTAAGCCAGAGCCCTCAGTAACCAACAGTAAACCAGAGCCCTCAGTAACCAACAGTAAACCAGAGCCCTCAGTAACCAACAGTAAACCAGAGCCCTCAGTAACCAACAGTAAGCTAGAGCCCTCAGTAACCAACAGTAAGCCAGAGCCCTCAGTAACCAACAGTAAACCAGAGCCCTCAGTAACAAACAGTAAACCAGAGCCCTCAGTAACAACAGTAAACCAGAGCCCTCAGTAACCAACAGTAACCAGAGCCCTCAGTAACAACAGTAACCAGAGCCTCAGTAACCAACAGTAAACCAGAGCCCTCAGTAACCAACAGTAAACCAGAGCCCTCAGTAACCAACAGTAAGCCAGAGCCCTCAGTAACCAACAGTAACCAGAGCCCTCAGTAACCAACAGTAAACAGAGCCCTCAGTAACAACAGTAAGCCAGAGCCCTCAGTAACCAACAGTAAACCAGAGCCCTCAGTAACCAACAGTAACCAGAGCCCTCAGTAACCAACAGTAAGCCAGAGCCCTCAGTAACCAACAGTAAACCAGAGCCCTCAGTAACCAACAGTAAACCAGAGCCCTCAGTAACCAACAGTAAACCAGAGCCCTCAGTAACCAACAGTAAGCCAGAGCCCTCAGTAACCAACAGTAAGCCAGAGCCTCAGTAACCAACAGTAAACCAGAGCCCTCAGTAACCAACAGTAAGCCAGAGCCCTCAGTAACCAACAGTAAACCAGAGCCTCAGTAACCAACAGTAAACCAGAGCCCTCAGTAACCAACAGTAAGCCAGAGCCCTCAGTAACCAACAGTAAGCTAGAGCCCTCAGTAACCAACAGTAAGCCAGAGCCCTCAGTAACCAACAGTAAGCCAGAGCCCTCAGTAACCAACAGTAAGCCAGAGCCCTCAGTAACCAACAGTAAACCAGAGCCCTCAGTAACCAACAGTAAACCAGAGCCCTCAGTAACCAACAGTAAACCAGACCCCTCAGTAACCAACAGTAAACCAGAGTCCTCAGTAACCAACAGTAAACCAGAGCCCTCAGTAACCAACAGTAAGCCAGAGCCCACAGTAACCAACAGTAAACCAGAGCCCTCAGTAACCAACAGTAAGCCAGAGCCCTCAGTAACCAACAGTAAACCAGAGCCCTCAGTAACCAACAGTAAGCCAGAGCCCTCAGTAACTAACAGTAAACCAGAGCCCTCAGTAACCAACAGTAAGCCAGAGCCCTCAGTAACCAACAGTAAGCCAGAGCCCTCAGTAACCAACAGTAAACCAGAGCCCTCAGTAACCAACAGTAAACCAGAGCCCTCAGTAACCAACAGTAAGCCAGAGCCGTCAGTAACCAACAGTAAACCAGAGCCCTCAGTAACAAACAGTAAACCAGAGTCCTCAGTAACCAACAGTAAACCAGAGCCCTCAGTAACCAACAGTAAACCAGAGCCCTCAGTAACCAACAGTAAACCAGAGCCCTCAGTAACCAACAGTAAACCAGAGCCCTCAGTAACCAACAGTAAACCAGAGCCCTCAGTAACCAACAGTGAACCAGAGCCATCAGTAACCAACAGTAAACCAGAGCCCTCAGTAACTAACAGTAAACCAGAGCCCTCAGTAACCAACAGTAAGCCAGAGCCCTCAGTAACCAACAGTAAGCTAGAGCCCTCAGTAACCAACAGTAAGCCAGAGCCCTCAGTAACCAATGGTAAACCAGAGAGATGACAGTGCCTTTTCTCCTTCCTGACCCTTTCAACCAGCAGATACCAATAGTTGTAGTGTCCATTCCGATCCCGTGGCTGTAGCAGAGGAGAGGACCACTGAAATGATAATTATATGAATTTTGTATGTAGTTACTCAGTTATCAAAGGTCTGGAAGACGCGTCGTTATAGATTTGTTATCAGGTTTTTAAAGTCTAGGTGAATGTTTCTTCTTCGGTGGATTGTATTTAATAAAGAAACTGTGTGTGTCCTCTCACAGTGTATGAATAGGGAGGCTATGCTTCGGTCTCAGCTGTGAGCAGAGGTACTGTGTGCAGAATATTAACTAACTTTCTCTGTCTGTCTGTGTGTGTGTGTGTGTGTGTGTGTGTGTGTGTGTGTGTGTGTGTGTGTGTGTGTGTGTGTGTGTGTGTGTGTGTGTGTGTGTGTGTGTGTGTGTGTGTGTGTGTGTGTGTGTGTGTGTGTGTGTGTGCACATACGTTCTAAGAGTCAGCTCCCTTGTGCTCGACAGGGGGAAAGAAAGAGGTCCACCGCAGTACTCAACTTGACAAACGAGAATTTAAAACCACTGTTTCCATTGGGGTTATTGGAATACTTATTTTGCTGTCCTTCCCCTGAGGCATCCATGCCATGCCTGCTTTTACTGCCTTTATCTGGTATAATTAGCCAACGGGACGAGATAGCCTGACAAGTTGTGACAATTAAAAGAGAATCTCATTCTGTCGTTTATTGACATCTATTGTCTGTCTTTCTGTACCGTGGAGCCCCTCTGGGGGCTTCTTCACAGAGAATCTGCCACAAAAAAAAAAAGATGGTTCTAAATAGTACCATATAGGGGTTATTTTGGCTTGGGACCATAGCAGAACCCTTTTTGGTGCTATATGCACCTTTTTTAAGGTTCTATAAAGAACCATGCTCATAAGGTTCTAAATGGAACCATTATAAAAGGTTCTATATAGAACCAAAAAAGGGTTCTACTATGGTTACAACCCTTTTTGGGGCTATATAGAACCTTTTTTAATGGTTCCATTTAGAACCTTATGCAAAGAAACATTGTAGAGCTTAAAGGGTTCTTTGAGTCATTATGGTTCCACATAGAACCATCACCCTTCCCAAAGAACCCTTGATTAACCCACATTTCTTAGTGTGCACAGCCTCTTACTTTAGTTTTTGAAAAACGTCTTAAACGCTACTGTACTTTTCTGAGGAAGAGAGTGAAACAGTGAACTTAGTTGACATTCATCTGGAAGAGTTTTGTTGTTTGTTTAGTTTTCTGGGCCTTTGTTTTCTTCTAGGATACATTGGAGATGTGTGCCAGGGATAATGAGTTTAAGAGCATCCTGTTTGCGCAGTGCTACTTCCACCCGGTGGTGGCTGAGAGGAGGAAGGCTGGAAAAGATCTTACCCCTTCAACACAGGAGACCAGCTCCCCCAATGCACTTTACAACCACCCGGAGGCTAACGTAAAGGTAACCAGTACATACACATGCTGCATCTTATGTGCCACAGTAGCAATAAAGCCAACCATATTCCATGACGATAATACCATTTTCACACTATTGTTCTGACCCAAACTGTGCTGGCTTGGATATTTTCTTTGGCAACTACTGTATTGTGAATTCTTGGCTCGGTTCAGTTTGGCTCGACTTGGTTCGGCTCAGTATTGTGAAAAATCTTTTAAGATTCTAACTTCCATTCTAACTAGAATGTATCATCAATCTTTTGTAATTTAATTACATTTAATAATAATTAATAATTTAATAATTTCCTGTTTTGTGTGCCAAGCTCAATACACAGCCAATTGGACAGTGTTTATGGAGCCAATTTGAGTTCAAAAGAATTGGCCCAAAAGATAAAATAATTTTAATGATTGATTATTATTGTAAGGGAAAGTGAAGTAATGCACATAAAAATAAATAAAGAAGTTTACAAAAAAATATTATTTTTTGCCAAGATAATCCATCCACCTGACAAGTGTGGCATATCAAGAAGCTGATTAAACAGCATGATCATTACACAGGTGCACCAATAAAAGGCCACTCTAAAAAAATGTGTTTTGTCACACAACACAATGCCACAGATGTGTCAAGTTTTGAGGGAGCATGCAATTGGCATGCTGACTGCAGGAATGTCCACCAGAGCTGTTGCCAGATAATTTAATGTTCATTTATCTACCATAAGCAGCGTCCAACGTTGTTTTAGAGAATTTGGCAGTACGTCCAACCGGCCTCACAACCGCAGACCACGTGTAACCACGCCAGCCCGGGACCTCCACATCCGGCTTCTTCACCTGCGACATCATCTGAGACCGGCCACCCGGACAGCTGATGAAACCGAGGAGTATTTCTGTCTGTAACAAATCCCTTTTGTGGGGAAAAACGAATTCTGATTGGCTGGGCCTGGCTCCCCAGTGTGTGGGCCTGGTTCCCTAGTGGGTGGACCTATGCCCTCCCAGGCCCTCTCAGGCCCATCCCTGTCCAGTCATGTGAAATCCATAGATTAGGGCCTAATGAATTTGTTTCAATTGAATGATTTCTTTATATGAAGTCGGTAAAATCGTTGAAATTGTTGCATGTTGCATTTATATTTTTGTTCAGTGTGTGTGTGTATATATAGATAGATAGGTAGGTAGGTAGGCAGGTGTGTATGTGCTTTTTTGGTATATAATAGTAGTAGTGCATTTCTAGTTTGTTAGTATTTTCTAATTTAAGTGGCTTCATCTACTGCTAGCTAGCTAACGTTAGCTGATAGGTGCTAGCTAGCTAACGTTAGCTGATAGGTGCTAGCTAGCTAACGTTAGCTGATAGGTGCTAGCTAGATGTTGTCACATAACAACATCGCCATGAAGAGGATGAAGACATATACAATGAAGAAAAATAGGATGACGTTTCAGAGAAAATAGGTCAGCTCCTCTGAAACATTGCTGTGTGCAGCTCCTCTGCAAAAAACATTTAAATGTCTTGGAATGGTCTAGTCAAAGCCCAGACCTCAATCCAATTGAGAATCTGTGGTATGACTTAAAGATGGATGTACACCAGCGGAACCCATCCAACTTGAAGGATCTGGAGCAGTTTTGCCTTGAAGAATGGGCAAAAATCCCAGTGGCTAAATGTGCCAACCTTATAGAGACATACCCCAAGAGATTTGCAGCTGTAATTGCTGCAAAAGGTGGCTCTACAAAGTACTGAATTTGTGGGGGTGAATAGTTACAGTTGAAGTCGGAAGTTTACATACACTTTGATTGGAGTCATTAAAACTCGTTTTTCAACCACCACAAATTTCTTGTTAACAAACTATAGTTTTGGCAAGTCGGTTAGGACACCTACTTTATGCATGACACAAGTAATTTTTCTAACAATTGTTTACGGACAGATTATTTCAGTTATAATTCACTGTATCACAATTCCAGTAGGTCAGAAGTTTACATACACTAAATTGACTGTGCCTTTAAACAGCTTGGAATATTCAAAAAAATGATGTCATGGCTCTAGAAGCTTCTGATAGGCTAATTGACATTATTTGAGTCAATTGGAGGTGTACCTGTGGATGTATTTCAAGGCCTACCTTCAAACTCAGTGCCTCTTTGCTTGACTTCATGGGAAAATCTAAATAAATCAGCCAAGACCTCATAAAGAAAATTGTAGACTTCCACAAGTCTGGTTCATCCTTGGGAGCAATTTCCAAATACCTGAAGGTACCACGTTCATCTGTACAAACAATAGTACGCAAGTATAAACACCATGGGACCACGCAGCCGTCATACCGCTCAGGAAGGAGACGCGTTCTGTCTTATAGAGATGAACGTACTTTGGTGAGAAAAGTGCAAATCAATCCTAGAACAACAGCAAAGGACCTTGTGAAGATGCTTGAGGAAACAGGTACAAAAGTATCTATATCCACAGTAAAACGAGTCCTATGTCGACATAACCTGAATGGCCGCTCAGCAAGGAAGAAGCCACTGCTCCAAAACCGCCATAAAAATGCCAGACTACGGTTTGCAACTGCACAAGGGGACAAATATCATACTTTTTGAAGAAATGTCCTCTGGTCTGATGAAGCAAAAATAGAACTGTTTGGCCATAATGACCATCGTTATGTTTGGAGGAAAAAAGGGGAATGCTTGCAAGCCGAAGAACACCATTCCAACCGTGAAGCACGGGGGAGGCAGCATCATGCTGTGGGGGTGCTTTGCTGCAGGAGGGACTGGTGCACTTCACAAAATAGATGGCATCATGAGGAAGGAAAATTATGTGGATGAATTGAAGCAACATCTCAAGACATCAGTCAGGAAGTTGATGTTTGGTCGCAAATGGGTCCCAAATGGACAACGACCCCAAGCATACTTCCAAAGTTGTGGCAAAATGGCTTAAGGACAACAAAGTCAAGGTATTGGAGTGGCCATCACAAAGCCCTGACCTCAATCCTATAGAACATTTGTGGGCAGAACTGAAAAAGCGTGTGCAAGCAAGGAGGCCAACAAACCTGACTCAGTTAAACCAGCTCTGTCAGGAGGAATGGGCCAAAATTCACCCAACTTATTGTTGGAAGCTTGTGGAAGGCTACCCGAAACGTTTGACCCAAGTTAAACAATTTAAAGGCAATGCTACCAAATACTAATTGCATGTATGTAAACTTCTGACCCACTGGGAATGTGATGAAAGAAATAAAAGCTCAAATAAATCATTCTCTCTACTATTATTCTGACATTTCACATTCTTAAAATAAAGTGGTGATCCTAACTGACCTAAGACAGGTAATTTTTACTAGGATTAAATGTCAGGAATTGTGAAAAACTGAGTTTAAATGTATTTGGCTAAGGTGTATGTAAACTTCTGACTTCACAATAAAAAAATATTTGGCATCTTCAAAGTGGTAGGCATGTTGTGTAAATCAAATGATACAAATCCCCCCAAAATCCATTTTAATTCCAGGTTGTAAGGCAACAAAATAGGAAAAATGCCAAGGGGGGAGAGTACTTTCACATGTATATGTTGCCTGGGGTT